TATCTGTGTTAATCTTTCTTTCTCTCTCTCTCTCTTTCTTCTTTTGGTTTTTCGAGACAGAGTTTCTCTGCAGCCTTGAAACTTGTCCTGGAACTCACTCTGTAGCCCAGGCTAGCCTCGAACTCACAGAGATCCACCTATCTCTGCCTCCCGAGTGCTGGGATTAAAGGCGTGCGCCACCACCGCCCATCACATTCTTAATGGACTAAATATGATAATGCAAATGGTTTACTATGCCATTTGGTTAGGGATGTTAAATAAATATTAGCTTTTTCTGGGTGTGCTGGTGCAGGCTTCTAGAATCTTCACTTCCTAGTCATCTGCTTGGAGGTAGGTAATGTTCCCCATGCCTATAAAACCTCTACCTGACAAATTTCACTTGGCCTGAATTATTCACGAGTTCCCTTGTGGTTAAGGCCTCACCTGGTTGAGGCGATATATATATATGGCTGTGGGTGCGTCCATAGTTCAGTGGGAGAATACAGCTCAGTACTCAGACTTTCAACCTTAGAGGAAATTTTACTCAGCAAATGTAAGTGCTCTCCTGGCGGTAATGACTATTCTCTGGACACAGTAATTTAGAAGGCAGGAACTCCTGTCTTCATGGAGTTTAAAGTTTGGTGACACTCTCACAGATGGGTTCAGAAAATTCATTCGGAATTCCTAAAATGGATAGGAGTTGACAGGTAAAGGGACTGCGAATATGCCACGAGGACGGCTCATGAAAACTTAGAGGAACGGGGTGGGCTCTGGGTCAGTCTCTCCAATCCGTGGCAGTGGGAAGCCAGCGAGGAGGAAATCAAAACAAGTATTCCTCCTCTTCACTGGCTTCATTTGATTCCAAATGGTGCCCACTTCTCCAGGGCACACACCTACAATCTCAGTATTCGGGAGGCAGAGGATGGATGATGTTAAGCACAAGGCTAGCCTGGTCTACATAGCAAGACTCTGCCTTAACTATCAAAACAGAACAGAATAGCTGAGAGAGACCGACACAGAGCAAAGCTGAGACTCCTGACTCGCTCTGGTACATCAGGAGCTCCATACAGCCTCAGGAAAACAGGCCTGCCAGAGTGATGGATACGTCAGGAAGCCAAGAGAGCCAGCAGAGCGTCACATTCCACAGAGGTAGAGGAAGCACAACACTCCAGGTCATCAGAATGTAGCAGGAAGAGGGCCCTTAAGGGGTGACTCGGAGCTCACAGGAGAGAGTCCAAACCCCAGTTTGCTGGCGTTGGTTACGAGAGCCCCAAGCATCTCTAGGCAAGACAAGCAGTGGCGATAGTCCTCGCGGGGTGTGTCTCTGCCAGGCCCACTTCCACATCCTTGTTTTTACACAGGCAGGAAGCCTGCTTCCACCTGGACCTCAGACTGCATCCACTGGGCCCAAAGGACACGGGGCTTCTAAAAATGTTCCTTATACCCAGTTCTGATTCCCTGTTCCACCTCAGCACCCATTTATATACACTTATTCTCTGCAGCGGTTAAAGATTCCCCAAAGGGCACCACGGCCGGGATAAAAGACAAAAAAATGGCATGATGAGTTATCGGTATGCAAGGCAAAACCAGGAGGCTGTCGGGCAGGGCTGGAGGTTTGCCATCAGCAAGAGAAGGAGCTGTAATCTGTTCATTTCCAGGCCACTGGCGGTTTCTAACAAAATCTACAGCCTCAGGCTCGCCTAAAGAGCAAGGGGTAGAGAGCCTGCTGTGCAAACAAGACCTGAGTTACAATCCAAATCAATACAGTTCACACCTATAACCCTAGTGCTGAGTGCGTCTGTGCAGACATGGATCCTTGGAGTTCATTAGCCAGCCAGTCTAGCTGAATCCATGCCCAGTGAGAAAGGGCATGGTAGAGGAAGACACCCAACAGCAGCTTCTGGTTTCCATGCGCACATGTGTGCACACCTATGTGTATGACACACACACACACATCCACACTCACAATCTCCAATCTTCCCACGGGGTACTGATGGCTCAGTAAAAGCAGATAGAACACAGCGCAAAGGTCGGGACCCACAAAGCCCCAAGGGAAGGACACAAAGCATTTGTATTAGACTTGTTTTCCACTTGCCTTTTTAGTAAGGTGAGTAGGCCATGGGCGCGAACTGTTCATTCCCGCCCCCCCCCCCCCCTTGAGCACATTTACTCTGCGCTGGACTGTGTTCACGAGGGCCATCTACAGATGTCAGCTTGTGGCACATGGTGGGGGGTAATTAAAGCACAAAGCAGGTACTTCCCCTCACGGGTGCTTGTCCGTCTCCCTGCCTGCCCAGCTCTTCTGAAGCTCCCCATCACTTTACCTGTGTCTGACACCTCCTCAGCCCCTGAAATGTTATTATCTTTACAGATTTAGTTATTTTTAGGTTTACGTGTATGAGTGTTTTACCTGCATGTGTTTGTGTACATGTGTGCCTGACTGCTCAAACAGGCCAAATGAGGGCACCAGATCAGGTGCACAGCCAGTGCTCTTAACTACTAAGCCATCTCTCTGGCCCCTGGAACCTACGTTATCTGAAGGTAGATCTATATTACACATTACTGTCTTTACCACAGCATTAGGATGGTGCACTGCATACAGAACATGCTAAACAAAAAACCATGCACAGAATGTATGTGATGCAGACCTCAAGTTCATCAGGTGGTGGCTGGCGAGGCCAAGTGCAGGAGCTCATGAAGAGATAATTGGCCGTCGTTGAAAACCAAGTCGCACCAATGGACTGATAGGGCTGAAAGCCAAACTCCCAAGGTCTAATCAATAAACCACCAGCTGGTCGGCTTCCATGCTGAGATAAGGAAGGAGAGGAATGAGCTTGGTATTAACCCATAGGTGAATGTTATATTACTATTAATAGGATAGATAGGATGGAGGGCATTTAACTCAGACTTCAGACCTAGATGGAAATCATCCCTAGAGATGAAACCATGTAGAGCATCCAAGTATGGATCGACACTACAAATAGGAGGAAGAGGATAGTAAGTTATCACTTGAAAGAGGAGAGACGGTGGAGAGAAGTGGTAAGGTTCGGGTACCCTTGAGGGTGAGAGAAGGGAGAGCAAGGCTATGTGATGTGACCCCATTTTCCTGACGAAGTAGAAGGCATCTCCTCAGTTCTCACACTAAGGGTCTTGGGGTCACCCAGAGTGGTGGGGCTACTGAAGTCAAAATGAGTCTGCCGCTAAACAAAATGATTTCAGAGCACAGCCGTAACTGTGCAGAGAAATTTAATTAGCAAATTAGCACTCTGCACTAACACTGGCTCAGAAGCAGACAGAAAGGAAACCAATTATGACATATCAATTACTCCTATGGCACTCATACAAAGAACCAAACATCGAGGGGCTTAAAAACTGACAGAACATTCTGGAGGCTCAAAATCCAGTCATGGTAGGGCTAAGCCGTCTACAGCCTCCAGGGGAAACTCCTCCCTTCCTCCTCCATGAGGAGGTTGGTGGGCCTCTGAGCTCATGGCTGGTCCACTTACACCCCACCCGTTTCCATGGGGCCTTCCTTCCACACTACGCTTGTCTCTGTATCACACTCCCCTTTAAAGAACACCGGTCTTCAGGGGTTAGCAATCTCATTTTAATCTGATTCCCTCCACAAAAGACCTTATTCCCAACTAAGGCCAGATTCCAAGGCAGGTCCATGGAAGCTAAGTGGGTCCAAATAAACAGAGAAGGAAAGATGCTAACACAGCGGTTTCCGACCTGTGGATCATGGCCACTCTGGGGGGGGGGCATCTCAGCTATTCTGCATATCAGATATTTACATTATGATTCATAACAGTAGCACAATTAGTTGTGAAGTAGTAACAAAATGATTTTACAGGTGGGGGTCACCACAACATGAGGAATTGCCTGGGTTGGAGGGAGGCGGGTAAGGATCCAGACCGTGAGGATCAAGTTTGGTTGAGAGTACAGACAAAAGGGCTGCAGGTGGGAGGGACAGAGAAAGCTGGCTCAACAGGGGCCATGGTATGAGATAAAAGCTGAGACAGGCACCTCGAAACCAAGACCTTGGATAGCTGGCCCCAGGTTCTCCCAGCCTGAGCTAGGAGGGAAGCCTGCGATGGGACGTCCACTGCACAGGAGACACCAATGGAAGGGGCAGGGGACAACTATAGCTAGAAGCCTCAGTTGTCAAGTAAGACAGGACGGCATCAGAGTTTAGGAGACGGCTGTGCCAGGTGAGCGAAGAGTTCCCAGGATGAGGACTCAGCCACAGGGGAATCTAAGGCGGGGACTTTGTGGGCTCCAGCTTGGGCAGTGACTCGGGGAAAGGAATGTTTTTTTTTCTGCAAGGACTGGAACTGCAATAAGGGGACCAGGGGAAGAATAATAAATAAGATGCTTCAATAGCAACAGTCATTCCTTGGTTGCCATTGGATCTATCCTGAATCTATAAAAGAACGGCCGAGAAAACCCTGCCTTTGATTAACCAGAATCCAGCCCTGACTTCTGGGGATGACCCGAGTCAGTGCTGCTAGCCTGGAGGACCCTGGAGGTCAGACATGGGGGACACCGTGTGGGTTGGGACAGCAGCAGCTGCTTAGGGGAGGTACTTAGCTTCACCTCCTCCCTTACCGCATGGGGTTAATGGCGCTACCTCACGGCAGGTCTCTGAGGACTGTAATGACTGTTATTACACAGTCATAGCCTGATGGATGAGGGCTAAAATGTGCTGTTCAAGACAGCAAAATTAAGGGCCAGACCCCCTCTCTCCTTCCTTTTCACCAAGGATAAATTTTCTGTGATTATTTTGGTGTTCTACAGGCTTTGACAGAATACAACCTTGGATACAGATGCGCCACTGCATTAAGGGCAGCATTACACAGCAGGCCAAGTCCCCGACCCTCTCCCAGAAAGGCTCCCAAGAATATTACTGTTCCACCTTCTGACAGTCCGCACTGATTCCATCCCTACACACTCCAAGTCCCATCCTTTACTAGAAAGCTTTGCCCTAAAGTTGTCTGTGTGTACACATGTGCACACACATATACCAAAGGTTCATTTTTTATTTCTGACAATGTGTGGAAGTTAGTCTAATATGCTGAAGAAGCCAGGCCACAAGGACCTCACCCAGGGCCAAGTTTCTTCTCCAAAGTCCCCGCATTCTGTAAGGGTCACCATGGGTTCCTACAATCAGACAGCTAGTGAGGCTGTGGTCTGGAGACCAAGCTGGGCTTCTTCCAGAGGGGAAAGAGGAGGGCAGAGTGTGGGGGGAAGAGGCAGCAGGATGTCTGAGCACCCAGGGCCCAATCACCAGGCTATCTGCACTAGCCAGGGGACAATGCGACACAAGGTCTCAGAACAGGCAGCATGGGCCACTCAGACCCCGCGCTGCAGCCTCAGCTGTAGCGTCATCCATCACCCGCGCGTCGTCCATCACCCGCACCGGATATGGGGAACTTTTCACACTGTGCCCAGGACTCCACTGTGAGCCCTGAAAGCCCGGTAGAGATTCTGCTGGTGGTTTCGGCCCAGTCACTTGCCACTTTCTTAGTTTCTTGGCCCTTGACATCTGGATGGGCAGACAGTGCCCTGTCAGCAGCACTCTGTGGGCTGTGCATGGCTTGCGGTGAAAAAGGGGAAGCTGGACAGTAGAGTGTGAGTCCCATCCTATCAGTGCAGAACGCTGCAGTGGTCCACACAGTCCTGAGTCCACTCTGTCTAAGCAGAACGCTGGGGTGGCCCACACAGTCCTGACTCCCAGTCTGTCCAAGCAGAATGCTGAGGTGGCCCACACAGTCCTTGAGCAGGGCCAGCATAGGGCCCTTCAGGCTGCAGTCTTTGCTGCACTCAGCGACTGGTATTCTTGCCTTGCTCTCTCCCTCTGCTCCTGTTCCCGCTGGATCAACTGCATCCGCTCTAGGTGCCACTCACGCAATTTCTGCTCATAAGTGGCCAGGTCCTCGGCCTCACAGGCGGGGAGTTTCTCTCTCACAAGCTGGGTGGTCAGAGTCAAAAGACCTTCTGACTCAATCCTGCCCAACTCCTGCAGTTTGGACTGAGAGGCCTGTAGGAAACAGGGAAAAAAAAAAAAAGAAAGAAAGAAAAGATAAGGGACCAGGTGAGAGAAAAAGAGGAAATGAGAAGCAATTAAATCCTCTGCTAAGCAGCCACACAATCTGCTGCAGGAAAGCTGCTTGGCAGGAAGCGCCCAGGCCTCTCCTCCAGGTGCAGCTGGTTTTTCCAGCTCAGCAGTTACACAAAATCAGGGCTGCAGCACGTGTAATCACGATTACACCACCTTCTCACAAAGCACAATTCCACTGCCCGTACTCCCTGAGTGCACAGCAGAGGTGCAATCCACAGGTCCATTGGGGCCTGCCCCTAACCGAGCAGGGAGCTCCAGGTAACAGGATTCTAGGATGCTAACAAGATGGGCAGAGACTTCTGAAGCCAGAGCCGGTTCATCCCTGTCTTTTTGTTTATGTGACTTCAGTCCTACTCTTGGCTCTTTTCAACAGATGGGATTCATTTCAGCAACTTCTCACGAGTGCGTGCGCAGGGCCGGCCTCCACCTGCTGGGCTCCCCTGCAGATGGCCCTAACCTCCCGCCTGCTTACAGCTCCATCTGAGATGGCAGGCCAGTTGGGTCAGCGCAGTGTTCCCGCTGAAGTACTAAAAAGCATTAATCTACTTAAGCAAAGAGTGCCTTGTAGGGCCCCAAACGCAGGTTAGAGGCAGATGTCCATGTAGTGGACAGGATAAGGCCTGGCCAGCAAGAATGGTGGGAGAAGGGACGGCCCATGAGCTCCAAGGGGCGGGCAGGCCTAATTACAGAGAAGCCAGCCCCAAGACTAATGCACATCAGGTAACAGGAAGGAAAGGAAGTGTAAACTGAAAGTGATTTCTCTCTGGCATCATTTCCCAGGTTGTCTGAATCCAAAGAGATGGCCAGGGACACAGAACAGAATAGTGAGGAGCAGAGTTTTGTCCAAAGTCAACTTCAGTTGCGGATAGGCTCCGTGTTGTCTCCCTAGGAGCCCTGTGAGGACAAAGGGAGGGCAGTGGGGCTAACATGGCTGAGGTCACAGCTAGCAGGCTACAAACACTCGCGTCTGCTCTTTCCTGAATGGTCGTGAGGTGTCCTGTGGAGGTACGAGGGCTGAGAAGTTAATGAAGGCACATGTCTCCATCCTTTGATGCCGACACTCAGGAACTGTCAACGAAACATGGTCAATGAGAACCCGTGGGGTGAAGGAGACTTTTTTCTTTAAGCTTTGTACATTGGCAGGCAAAGTTAGGAGGGAAGGAAGGACTGTGTATAAATTCTCTCTCTGCTTTGTTCTCAGGGTGTGATGGGAACACTATTTTTTTTTTTATTCCCAGTTTCAAGTTATAGAGGAAAGAAGCTGGGCAATGACTTCCTTAAAAAAGTACTGGGAAAAACAACCGCCTACAATATACTGGGATCCCACTATGATAAGAGGAAAGGCTTCCCAGGGCTGCTTCAGAAGACACAGACTCAAGTGTGAGAGTCCAGCAACACTTCTTCCTACCCAGCGTGAAAAGGTACAGCTGGCCAGCTGGCACAGATGGAAAACTTTTCTGCTTATATAATGATTTTATAATTATAATTTCTTTATAAAGGGGGGGGGCATGGGTTTTCTTCCCTGACACTGACGGTGAGCACTTTAGGACACAGAGTTCAAAGCCAGCTTGAGCACTCAGTGCTGTTCGGGAAACCTGTTTCCATACGCGTGTGGTGTCAGGCAGTGCCTCTAATGCCCCCTGAAAGCGCAAAGCTGCCATGAGCCACAAAGGAAGCCGGAGTCTTATCGCTGCATGCTGAAAATGTGACCGATGTCTACCTGGGTTTCTGATCGAGCACATGGGGTGCAGTGAAGAGAAATGACTAGACACTTTCCACACTGAGAGGGAGTCAGGCGATTGTTAACAGGAGGAAAGGTTATCCACCCGTCAGACACACGAGGATCATTGGGGATGCATGCTGCCTTACTGAACAACACTGTCACTGATTAGGGCAAACTCACAAAAATTCCACCTGTTTCTCTTAAGGCCACAGCCTGTGGGGAGCAACACAAACGCAGTTCTTGATGTGAGTTTTGATGCCTTTGTGTGGGACTGATGCAGAGAAGCCTGTCCATCACCAGAGAAGCATGTTCATGCATGGCTGGGAGAGGCTCAACTTCTGCTCTCAATCACCTTAAATCGCTCCAGGTATTGGGGAAGCTTCGAATGTTCTGGTTCCTCAATGTCCAGCTGCTCCACCACGTCTGCTGAGCCCAAGCTACCTTCACCTTCCTGGGGCTGTGTCTCTTCCTGGGGCTGGTCAGCTGGAGATGTCACCACCTTCAGGACTCCGTCCAGCACATTGAGCTGTCAGAATGACATCATTCGTTATGGGCTTGACTTTGTGAAAGCCAGAGACAAAGAAAGAGGAAAGGGGAGACCCAAGACTCAGGATGGTAACAGCCAGGGGTTATTGGAACGGCTGACCATGCATGAAGTGCTGAGTCCAATCCCCAGTGCTGCAAACAAGGAAGAAGGAGACACAACAATTATATTCCTATACATTAGCCACACCTGTCAGACAGCACGAGGAACTCAGTATATAACAAAAGCTACAGACATGAGCTAAGAATTATCTGTAGGAGCGAATCAGCACAATGGTAAATTAAGTATGTTTTTAATTAACCAGGTAGGGAGGCAGGAATTACATTTGATGGGCATTAAAGGACCGCCCCCACTTTCATGTCTTTCTTTGGAGTCAGTCTGGAACTGGGACAAAGGGAAAGAAAAGACCACCACAGACCACAAACAACAAAAGGCCACTCTGAATGCACATTAAAGCCGCAGGCTATAGGCACCCCTTCACCCCCAGGAGATTCCAGCTCATGGAGTAGTATAAATTAGGGATCTGTCTAATCCACAGAAGCTGTTGGCCGTGGCCAGAGATGCACACAGGAAATTCATTCTAACGAGGGGGTTTCTGGGACTTAAACAGTAAACAACTGAAAACATGGAGGTTCTTTTATCTGGCTCTCTTGCTCCTCTACCTCCACTGTGTGGCACACTTCCTTAACCTGTGCAGGACTTGGTCATCAGAAGCGGGAGGAGATAGTAGCAAGGCCGCATAAGCACCTGCTTGGACATCAATTGACCTCATCAGTGTCCCAGTAGAACAAAGCACCAATGCTACATTGTTTTCAATACTTTATGGACAAACTGGATATACATCACATTCTTGCTGACATGTGAATACATTCCTATAAATTAGAATAAAAAGAATGCAAAGTTGGCTGAAATTAGAAGGAATTATCCCTGGTGAAGGATTTGTATGTAAGTTTGTTTTCAATTACCAACACTGAATAGAGCCATCTTCAAACACACTTAGAAGTGTGTATCCTTGGGTCTAACGGCTGGGAAAGAACGTAAAGGGTTCAGTCAGCATAAGGTGCCACAGAAGGCACTGGGCCTAGTGTCTCCTGACTGAAACGAAAGCTTAGGGTGAGCCTCAGTGTATTTGGGGTCAAGTCCACACACGAGTAGCTCCAAGGCAACCTTTCATTTTGGTAAGACAGTGTCTGGGTCTCTCTGGATAGAGCAGCAGGGCCGGGTGGGAACACTACAGCTCAGTGTTCGATGTTAAAGTCTGCTATGTTTCCCAGCCTATGCCTAGTGAACTCACTGTCAGGGGTTTAGGTGACTAAGAAATGAACTTTGGCACAGGTAGGAGGACACTGAGACAGGCCATGTGAACACCTTAGACGGCTGGCAGGACCACAGGACATAGATTCGGCATCACTCATGCACCACAGTCAGTCCAAGGGGAAGGAAGAAGTCTTCTCCAGCATCCACGTTCTGTGCGGCTGATGAGGACTGAGTGGCTGTTCATGTGTCTGCACGTGGACTACAGAGGACAATCTCAGGAGTCACTCTTGGGCACTTTCTGCTTTTTTTGTTTGAGATGGGGGCTCTTGGCTTGGAACCTCACCTAGTAGTCTAGGCCAGCTAGCTAGTAAGCCTCCAGCGAGCCATGTCCCCCTGCTCCCACCCTGCAGCATGCACTGCTGTGCCTGGCACTTTAGGTTGCTCTGGGGATCTGAACTGAGGTACTTATACTTGTGAGGCAAATACCAACAGCCAGGATATTAAAAAAAATTGCTACCTAATCTTTCCAGACTGCATGAGGGATAAGTCCATCAAAATTATTTAATCTTTCTCTTATGCCTCCTTTAATTCCTTTTGGATGGGGGTCGGGGATGGTGAAGAGGATGGTATTTATTGAGCTGAGTTCGAACTGCAGGAGGAGAGGAGACAGCTTTCCTCTTACATAATGAGGCAGGAATCAACAATAATCTTACTTTCCATTGCCTTTCTGTCAGCAACATTGAAAATGTTTGTGGTTTCTTTTCATCCTTTTCAATCGAATAAATACCAATTCTACACAAAGACAGAAAGCTGGGGAAGGGGAAAGACAATAGGCAAAATTCACACCACCCAGACGAACAGTGATGGCTCCATCTGAGTGGAGGGGCAGGAACATACCGCTTCTCTACACAGCTTGAGGTCTTTAGGGGAGGAGGCCACCTTCTCCATCACTTGAAGGGCTCTGTCGAGGTAGCCTGGTTTCCATAGCAGAGGCATGTTGTGGTACACAGCCTGCAGTCCACGCTGCACTTCCACCTTCCCTGTGGCCGAGAGACCCACAAAGACCCCTCAGCTGTGTGTCCCCGGCATGTCTGCAGCCCGAGGCCACAGCAAGCACCAGCCTAGAGGAGGAACCGCACCCTGCACATTGTAAATGCAAGCTTGGTGAACACGTTTTAATAGATCCACCAGAGCCCGTGAATCACTGGCTGAAGAATTCTGAGACTGACAGAGTTTGCTCCAGAAGGCTGCCCTTAAGACAGAAGAAAATGGAAGTACTGTTTTTGTTTCAAGTTCAAAACCTTCCCGAGAAAAAGAGACTTTCACAACTCTCCTACAGAGAAAACCTCGTGAACATCTGATGGCTTTCCCTGCAAGGAAATATGCAACGTGCTTCAAAAATGCCAAGTCCAGTCTATTGTCTTTATGAAAAGACAGAGGAAAAACCAACCAACCAAACAAACAACCTAAATCTTCTTCTCATTGAGCATTATCAGTTCTTAAACCAGAATTCTAGCAATCTTCTGGCTCACAGAGCCTGAATATCCCCTGGGCTCCTCAAACTGTCATGCAGGCTGTGGTGGGACAGCAAGGCCTGGAAGTACAGGGCCCTTGGCACCAGGGAGCAGAGCCTTTCCACATTGGGAAGCAATGTCACCTTGAGCAGCTGGGTCTTAGTCTGCCTCTACTCATCTTTCCCGGGAAGGAGGATTTGGGAAGCGGTAGGAGGATACCAGCAGACAAAGCTCATCAGGACATGGCTAATTTTAGACCTTTAAGGTGCTTGGGCTGGACAGGGATCACTCTGAGTGAGGCTGCAGGGCAGGCCACAATGAAAGCAGGGGCGGGGCAGGGGTGTCTGATAGCGAGGCTGCCTATCACAGGGGACCAGGGCCATAAACAACAGCCAAGTGTATTTTCCAAGTGAACGATCCACGCAGTATAGCAGTCCTGAACAAAACTCTGAGCACAAAATGGAAGATTATGCAAATCAGTATCTAAATAGGAAGCAAATAAATGAAATGTGATTTTATACAAGAACTGCAGGCTGGGTGTGGGTCTTACACCTGCAGCCACAGCACCTAGTGAGTGGACACAGGAAGACTCAAGTTTGAAGCTACCTTGGGCTAGAGCAAGAACTTGTCTCTGAAGACCAAAAACTAAGGCTGAGGATACAGATCAGTTGGTAAAGGACATGCTTAAATCTTGGGTTCAATTTACAGCATCACACAAATCAGGCACGTCTGTAATTCTAGCACTTAAGAGGTAGTGGCTGGAGGGTAAGAAGCTAGGATTCCTCCAGTGACTACACAGTGAGTTCAAGGTCAGCTGGGGATGTAGGTAACTTTGTCTCACCAACCAACCAACCAAAAACCACAACCAAACACTATAAATAAAGCACCAAAACCCTCAACTCAAACTCAACAACAAAGAGAGTGAACACTCTTACGCTGGCCAGTCTAACAGACTGAGAGGAGACTGGTCTCTTAATCGTTTATATTAGAATCCACACTATATTTTGTTGGCAAAGCTTCGGCGGCCAAAGAGGTATTCCTTAGAGAGACGGGCAGAAGCAAGGAGCAAAGAAAAGGCACTTTCATGGAGGCCCGACTTCTGAGAGAAGAGGGGGTGGGGATATGGAATAGCATGCACCCATGAATCCCTCTGAGCTGGGGGTCTGCCCAGATTCCACACACCCCAGGTGCTGAGGCTGCCCTCTGCCAGGCAGAGCGCCAGAACTTCCTTGCTGATCAGGAGTGAATTCTACTACAGCTAACAGAGTGAGTCTTGACAGGTCTTATGATATCTCTCGACTGTCCATAACTGTAAGGCCACACTGAGACTTATTTTGTTGTCTATACATATAGGTTATAACTGGAACTTCACTAGCAAATTTAAACGAAGCTTTAATTATGAGCCAAAAAGTTGAGCCACATCTTTCCACAAAGAGCAATATTAATAAGGCTCACTTAGCTTACCAAGAAGTGCATAGCCATACAGTTGGGAACTCAAGCCCACTGTGTTCTTTTGTTTTAGGCCTGGAAGCAACAGGGACGCACCAAAGTTCCTTTCCTCTTCCCACTGCAACAAAAGACAAAAGACCATTGTCTGTTAAAGCCATGGACACTTCACACATGTGAGTCTTTTGGTGACACTAAACAGCATGTATTAAGCTGATGAAAATAACAGTTGTGTAAAAGTTAACCCAATACTAAAAATAAAAGGTATTCATATTAGAAAAAAAAAATCAGAACAGAAATGCCCTGTATATAGCTAAAAGATTCCCGGGTGGTGAAATCATGAAGTCGTTTTGGTTTTATTCTTTGTGCTCCTCGTTATTTCCCCTACTTCTGGTAATGAACCATTGCCTTTTGCAGTCAGAAAAAATAAAAGAAAATAGAGTACACTCTGGACCCCGCTGACTTGAGAGCGTCAAAGAGGCCCCACAGGCTGCCGGCTTCGTACGACACTGCTCCAGAGGGAGGGCGCACACTAACAACACAGCAGTGATAAGACTTCTCCACAGTGTTAGAATAAGTACCACCATTAAGTTGCTTTTAGAAAGATTTGTGCCTCTTGAAAACAAATTAGGCAATCAGAAACACTTAGTAACTATGTCTTTCAACCTAGGGTGTAAAATTGTACTTCAATAAAATAGAAGCCTTTTGAGACATGAAAAGAAAAAAAAAGGGGCAAAGCCACAAGCCTCACTGAGCCTGCCACACACCGTAACAGATGTGACTGGCGCTCCTTGGAGAGCAGAGCTCCGAGGAGGTGTGGCAACAACCCAGACAGTGGCAGCTGTGACCCTCCAGACCTAGCCCCTTCCCCCGCAGCACACATGCACAGGAGCTGGGGAAAGAGGCAGAGAAGGGAGGAGGTCTACAGCTGCAATTGCTGCATGGAGCAAGGCTCTGCGGTATTAAAGATCTCCTGCCCATGCTTCGTGAAGCACAAGCCCCAGATCTCGAGATTTTCCTACACCTTGGAAAACAGTGGATCGTTGGGAAGGGAAATTCCACATGGGCTTCCACAGTGCAGATAAAGAAGAGCTGCTCACTTTCCCAGGGCAAACCACTCTGGCTTTTGTACTTGTGCTGGAGCGTAAGCCCAGGGTCTTACACCTACTAATATACCACTACACTTCCTAAAGCCACCAATATAATCTAGGCAAGTTTGCTTCTCCCACTGAGAGCCTGAAAAGTGGGTCCAGTTCAGAATAAATAAGAAGCCTGCAAACATTTTCTTACACTTATTTTTTTTTTTTTTTTTTTTTT